GAAAAATCACTTCAAACAATCCTTCAAAATTCGTTGGGTTTGGATAGGATTGTTTTATGAATCTGGTATTTATAGATAACACTAGAAAGTCCTTCAAAATCCCTCTCACACAACAATCCTTTAAAATCCTTATATTTTTTAATACCAGTGGATTGTTTTTAAGTTGTAAAAAATCTCAAATGAATACCAATGGATTTTAATGGACTCTTTAAAAAATCTTGAAAATCTTGAAAATCCAGATTGAATACCACTGGATTGTTTTTAAGTGACATAAAATCCTGATTGAATACTAATGAACTTTTTTACTCAAAAAAAGTCTTTTAAAATCCTACGAAATCCTAAACTAATACACCCCCCTTATTCTTTTTTAATATTTTTTTGGGGCTTTTCTCTAAAAACATTAATGTTCAAATTTTTTTTTAAAAAAAGCAAATCTTATAATATTACAAAAAGTTAGATATATATTGTAGCATAAATAAAAACGTTGAGACGTTGGCCTTCATCGGAGTAAAACTACAGATTGTGTGACTACGTACGTGGTAAAAAAATCACATTACAATTAACTGTTTTTTAAACATGAATCTAAGATAACCTCAAGCGTGTGGTTCAGCGGTAGGGGTTGATCCACGCTTAAGCAAGGTCAGGGGTTCGAATCCTGTCTTGTGTATGCAGCCGCCTGTCTTGTGTATGCAATCTTGGGGCCAGCTATCCCACCCTTTGAGGTGCCTCCAACGTAGCGAGAAAATTACGTAATTTCAAATACATATTATAAAACATACAAACATACTATATTTTTTTAATCGCTTTTTGTAATGTGGGTTCAATTATGTAGACAATGCTCTTCAAATTTGACTTTGACACGAATAATGTCTCTCCTCAATTTAATTTAAAATGTATATGTAATAATATATAATGGAAATACGTTTATTTGATGTCCACTATTTTAAAAATATTTATATTCTTATTTATATTCAACAAAAAATATATATTTTTCTTTAGCAAAGAAAAAATTAACTGTTCATTATTAAAAGTAATTATTTTTTTTTTCACATATCCATTTTTTGAGTTAAAAATGTACATATATAAAATGACTCATATTAGTTCAGGATTATTCTCTCTTTTATGTAAACTTATAATATAATTTCTCTTAGGTTTCTTTTCTTAATTTACTTAAGAATTTCAAATGTACTATAATGTATGAAAATTACATTCAATATATTGAACTATAGTTATTTTTGGTTTCTTTAAGTATTTGAAAAAACTAATGAAAAATCTACATGTTGTAAAATAAAAGCGCTTTCAAAATAATCAAAATGATACATACATATTAATTATTAATTGAATAAAAAAATAATTTATATATATATATATATAAATTAATTGATTTGGTTTGGATTGATTCAAATTTTAAATGTGTTAATCCAATACCTAAACCAATCAACGTTAAATTTAACTGGTTTGATTTAGATTAGATCCAAACAAAAAAAATCTGAACCAATTTAATTAGCTTGATTCAAATTATTGAATTGATCTGATTCGATGAATATATATATATATATATA